ACACACCAGGTGTCTATTTTTTGAGAAGTGTTTTCCTTTTAATGCTTTCAAATGGGCTCCAGTGTAGCCTTGGGAAAGAATAGCCTGAAACCCCATGTAAGTGACCCATTTCCTCCAGGCTGTTTGTCTGCTTCTCTGAGAACATAGTGTGATCGATTCATCCATTAGGCTACCTGGAAAACAGGCACGTAGGATGAAGGCAAAGTGGGTACAACAGCCAGCACTGTTAGGGCAGCTCTTTGCGTTGCTTTGTGCTGCTCAAGTGATTCGTGAATGCAATCCATCCCTTTGCCTGAGGTCCGCGTGCTTACGGCTCTGCAGAGGTGAAAAGGCAAAACGTCTTGGGTAGTTTCTTCCAATGGACCAAATCCTGATGCTGTTTATAGACCTCGGGACCCAAAACTCTAACTTGACAACAACTCTCAATTATTCGTGTTAATGGACATGAAGACTAGGATAAATGTGAAAGCTACAGAAGACCAAAGAAAAGCTTTAGTTGGCGCCATGCTTCGGCCCGGCTAAATCGTTTCCCGGAGTAAGCCTAGCTGGAAAACACCAACTGCTCGCGAGTGGGAGAGCAAATGAAGAGAGGAATGACGGAATGAGAGCTGGAGAAAGTCGTGACAAATCTGTGGCTTGAGCTGCTCCCCCTTCCTGTGCCTCTCGCACACATCACTCGTCATGACACGCCTTTCGGTCTCACACAGACGCAGCCTCAGAACCTTTGTCAGCACCCGAGTAGTTCAGGCGATTTCCCATCAGTAAGTTGGCCTACCCGCCACTCTGCTTGAAGGGAGCCCTCCACGATCCATCAGTTATACACAAAGATTTAAAAGTTGATCCGATCTGTACTTTGTTTTCCTCTAAGAACTGGGATGGTTTCTGGAACTCGCCATTACGCGCTGGAACAGTGGGTCGGAGAAGCACGCTGCCTCGCACCCCGCACCAGGCCGCCTCGCGGATCAGAGCCAAGAACCGGCTCAGGGGCTCCGTCCCCGGAGCGAGAGCAGCGAAGGCAGCTGCCGGGGATTCTCAGAAACAGCGGAGCCCACTCCTACCACCTACCAGACTTCTCTTAGAAACATCAGTCCCCGTAAGCTCCAGTTTCCCCCTTCGGCTGAGCTCACCCCTGAGCAAGTTAGAAGATCATCACGCAGTCCCATCTTACAGAGAATTCCTTTATTTAGGTGCTTTGTTTGTTTTCCTGAAACAAGATCAGCAGCAGGTGTTTTTAACAGACAAGGATGGAAACAATGTGATATAGAACCTCCAAGAAGGGTCACCCCAGACCCAACCCCGGGCTTGAGACATACAGTACGACAGCCATGGGAGCCTTTATTGAGTTGCTACGACATGCCAAGCACTTTCCATACATGATCTTGCTTCTTCCTCACTACTAACTGAGTTATGATTAACACCATCTTTTTACAGATGAAGAAAATGACTCAGTAATGTAAATAACCCGACCAAAGTTAGGAAGCCGGCGAGGGTCTGAAGCCAGATGCAGGTGGAGATCTGTCTGGTTCCCGAGCCTGTGACCTCCCACTCCACTGAGCTGGCTCCTTCAGGAAGGCGTCAAAGACACACTTGGCACACTCAAAAATTTTCCTAAGACTGATGCCCATCTTACTCCATCGCCTTCTTCCAGAGATTGGGAAGGAAGCAAATTCTCCTCTTGCAAGACAGGCCTCAAGAGAGAAGGATCCCCACACCTGTTGGAACATCCTGTCTTAGAGAGATTAGGGGGCCGGAGCCACCGACTGGAATGGCATGTATCAGCTTCCTTTGGCTCAGATGTCATTCCTCCCTCATGGAGAGAAGCAGCTTCAAAGGAGGTCAGAAACAGGAGCTGAGCACAGCCTCGGCCCCATGCAGGGGACAGTGAAAGGCTGAAGGCACAGACGTCCTCCTACAGCCTTGACAAAGCCTTCGATGGAACAGAAAGCATCCAGGGCAGAACCTGCTCTGGCCAGTGTTGTAGCCGGTGAATCCTGTCCTGCTCCACTGGTGGGGTTTACCTAGGACGACGGACACCCTCTCATATTATATAGACTCCATTGTGCACCTATGTACCAGGAGAGAGTAACAGGCCAAGGTGGGCCCCATGCCCCTTCTCTAAGCACATGCTTCCCACTCTGATGTCACAAAGCCAGGCTGCCGCCACCCTCCACACACCCCTTAGTCCTGTTCTATTCACCCTCAACAGTCTGAGGGACCACAGGGTCTGCCCTTCAAGCAGGTCCAAGGGCCCCAGGAGCCATGTCAGCAGCATCTGTGGAACAGGCAGGCAGGCAGAAAGGATGGTGCAGAGCGCAGCACCTTTGTGAGAGATGACATGGGGGCAACTGGGGCAAGGGTGTGGGGAGCAGGGAGGTTAAGCAACCAGCATGCATTGCACACTTTCTGTATTTCAAATAATCAAGGAGCCAGGACTCCACGGGCCTTGTCTAATCTCTTCCTCCAAAGTACTTGTAACAGAAGACCAGAGTGAATGTATTCCCCTGGGTGTCTGCCTCAAAACTAATTTAACTTAAAATTCATGTAAATGTTGCAGTCTATGCCTTAAGATATTGATGTTTGTTTCCATGTAAAACATAGTGTTTTTCATTGACTGACAGAAATATTAACTGTCTGGGAAAATACATCATGTTAATGCTGTGATTATGCAGACCCTGGCATTCCTTGGATGTGCCATCTTGAGAAGCACAAAAATCTTGGACCAAGTTCGGGTCAGACAGTCCTGCTGCCCCACCCCCTGGGAGATTCTCTTTCTTTTACCAAATTTGGAGGTCCCAGGTGTTCATTAAGAAAGACAGCCAATTATAAAGCATACCTCAGAGAAGAGGTTAGGGCAGAGAGCACAACACAAGGAAGCCCCATGAAACGTCAACAGATCAAGACCAAAAGAGCCAGAGGAACATACGTAACTGGAGATCCAATCATTTTGCCCTTTTGTCTAGGTCGGTGGCCTACATTAATGATAAAGGGTTAGTCATCAAAAGTAAACTCTCGCGTGCAGGAATTTATTTTGTTGAATTTCTCTGTGTGTCACACACACACACCCTACCACTACTTAGGGGCAAGGGGAGGAGATAATGCAGGCATGCAGATCCTGAGGATGAGGAACTGGAGCAAGGAGGTGCTGGGGCCGGTAGATGCAGCAGATGCCAGAGATCAGGCAGTGCAAGAGCCAAGATTTGAAAGCAGGTAGACAGTGATCCGGTGAGAACATGCTGACATTAGCTAGGAAGGTCCACTGACCTCTGAGGCTGGTTTGGGTAAGCCAGCAGGTGTGTGAGCTTAGATAATGGATAGCTCTCAAATAAACCATTTTCATCATACAGTCCCAAATCAAGAACCATAAATAAGCACTTCCTGCACCAAATATCTGGTTTCCTTTAGATTAAATGACTATCTAGTCAGTCCGTTCTGGCCTAGGCAAAGAAGAATTCTCAAGGGACCTACCAGACCACAAGTTGCAGAAAGGCAGAATTGGGTCTACTATGGTCACCACTGTGTCCCAAATTCCTAGCACATAGTTGGCCACCAATAAATCAATAAATGAATGTAGGGAAGGAAACATTATATTATTATTATTATTATTATTATTATTATTATTATTGGATAGTTTCAAAATGACACATTCACTTGTCCTGCCTCTCTGCTCTGCTCTCATGGTGTGTGTGAACCAATGAGGTCACCATAGGTTCCCACAGAAGAACTTCCACACGGGTAAAAATTCTGCATCACAGTAACTGCTGTGGTGTCACGTAACGCATGCTTTCACACAAAAGAATGCAATAACACCCGCTCGGGGAGGCAGGCAGAGACACCCCTGCACGCACGCACGCACGCCAGCCATCCCACTCAATGACCTCATGCCCCAGGGTGAGAGCAAGAAGGAAACATGATTCTGTAGCTCCTCCTGTCAGCCTCATTCCAGCGAGCTTCTCAGTGTGAGCATATCACAGAGCAGAGAGGGAGTCTAGTGTTTAAAGAAACATATTTTACATACAAGTTGGACCCTAAACACAAGCCAACTGCTTATCTGATGCTCAAAAACACAGCAATCCATTCCAGCTCCGTGGGCAAGACTGGCTGTGCTGGCCTCCGGGCGTGAGTGTAGGCCTCCCATGCGGAGCCTTCCGAAGGGATTCTCGAGGGTAATTTTGAGTACATGGTTTCTGCCTCACGTACAGACTTAAAAATAGACAATCAGTGAGCTGCACCACCTGTAACACAGTCTGGTACATCACCCAAAATAAGAGTGGGTTGAATGAGGAGTACCTTACAAAAGAGAGGGTTGTACATCTGCTTACATAAGTGGTCTATAACAGAAGTGTCTAGAACATAGACAATATTATTTTTTGGCATGGGTTAGGATTCAGCATATCATCTTCCAACCAGCTTTTTGGGTTTTCTAACATGAACCAAAATAATATCTGCATGGTGATTATTCCACAGAAAGCCTTCTTAGAATTTTTCTACATTTCTTCTGACTTCAGCATACGTTACTGCAAGACCTCTATCAAATATATTAAACACATTTAACCTCAGCTAAAATAAATCCAGCTCATTACATGATATAAATAACAGCTCATTAACAGAGCACTGGTAAATATTTCTCTATTCTGACTAGGCAAGCTTATTATACACTTGAGCACTGTGTAGTCTTATCATGCCACAATTATCAGCCTTATATACTAAGCCTAAGCATGAAACTGCTATTGAGCAAATAATGGAATTGAGCCTGTACACTGCTCAGCTCTTGGCAACTGGTTCATACAATCTTTAAATAGCCCATTTAAACCAACGGCAAGTTTTCATAAACAAGACAATTCTAACACTTTTAATTATCTAGTTTATTAGACTTTTTGTGTAAACAAGCTTAGACCTCTTTGTTGCTTGTTACAAAGATTCCTATCTTAACCACAGTCACTTTAAGAGATTAAATATTTATATCTTTGGAAGTATAGAATCTTTTCTAAAATATATTTTAAATCGCTTCTCGGACTTTTGGTTAAGTTCAAGTGTAGTATCTGTTCGTACCAGTTTAATATCTGATACGTCCTCTGTCCGAGGACATCATATTGCATGCGTTTTTGGAGCAGGGAGATGGAATGGGAGCTTGCTCCGTCCACTCCACGCATCGACCGGTACTGCAGTGCCTCCAGGAACGGTGCCGCAGAAATAATAAAATATATTTTCAAGTGTGAGTTTTAGGATCACTTTGAGGCAATCAAGTCACTTTAGGAGACAAAGAATCAAGGAATAAGATGGAGTTTGCAGTTGAAAGATGCATTCAAGTAAGTTATGCCTTATAAAGAATATCTTCACATTCTTTATCCCCAAAACTCTTGTGGGAAATTACAGTAAGGAAGCAATCAGGGATGAGCACAAAGATTTGTGTTCAGATGTTTATTGGGCTGTTGTTTATTAGAGAAAATCATAGGGGAGCTTCTTAACTATCCAATCTTAGGGATATCATGAAATAAAACATGACATATCCAAATGGTAGAGTATTATGCAGCTATAAAAATGACATTTCAAAGTATTTTTAAAGACTTTGAGAAGTATTTGCTATACAAGAATGAGTGGCGGGAGGGGGGGGTATCAAAGGCCTGGCACATGGCAGACATGCAAAAAGGAATTCTGTTGCGTTAAGCAACATATACAACAGATTGCAAGTCTGTATTTGAAGTATATATACACATACATAAATAAATAAGAGGAAAAATATCAATGTCAACAGTGCTTATCTCTCAGTGATTACATTACAGTTGAGTTATTCCCCCCACACCAAATTTTGCAGTTAATATCCATCACTGATATAGTTGGGAGACAAAAGACACATGATAAAAAACTAAACTCAAAAACAGAGATGCAAGTGAAACTGCATTTGAAATGGAATTTTTAAGAGTAACTAGAACACAAGAACCCGATGATATCACCAGCTACAGCAGAAGCAAGGCCTTGGCCCAGAAGGTCACAGATGCTTCTTCCGGATGGATGCTCAAAGTTAGGCTAAACCAAAATCCAGGGACTGGATGAACCAGCAGCTGTGTTAAAGTCAAGTTTATAGTCCATCTTTAGTTGTGCACTGGAACTTCCTATACCAGGAAGATACAGTAAATCTAAGCAAAAATGCGCTAGTTTATTTTACTCTGTTTACTGAAAAACATTAAGAAGTAAATAGCCAGCCCCAAATTTTCAACTGAAGCTTTTCCTTACTTGTAGTAGAGAAAGGGCTATTTAGTGAGGCATTGGCTGGGCTACAGAAACCCAAGGCTTTGGCAGCACGAGATGCTCTCAGGTTGGGGCTGGCTGGTAGTACTCTCGAGGTTTAACACTGAAATGGAAAAGCGTGAGGCAGTGAAGCCATAGTTTCCAACTTAACCATCTCTCAAACCATGGATTAGGGAAATTTTCCCCAATTTTTGATGCCCTCAAATGGCTTCAATGAACAGAAATAAACATTTCTATATCTTGTTAATGAGGAAGAAATGCATTCTTGGTTGACCAAGCATCTGAAAAAAATATCTGGTACGTTAAAAGATATATATTAAGCCCGGCTGGTGTGGCTCAGTGGTTGAGCGCCGACCCATGCACCTAGAGGTTGCCGGTTCGACTCCCAGTCAGGACACATGCCCAGGTTGTGGGCCAAATCCCCAGTGAGGAGGCAGCCAATTGATGTTCTCTCTCTTCAATGTTTCTATCTCTCTCTCCCTCTCCCTTCCTCTCTCTAAAATAAAAAAAAATAAAAATAATTTTAAAAAGATTTTTATTAAGCCCTATCACTAAGTTGCTGTTTAATTAAAGTATGTGTCTCAACAGAACCCTGCTGGTGTGGGGGCATGCAGCTTTAGAAACCAGCCTGCAGTAAGACTTTGGGCCTAATTATGTCAACAAACTGAGCGGTCCTACGAGCCCTGACATATTGAAGGTCTTTCAAAGCCTTAAACTTCTGTGCCAAGATTTATGATGTTCTTTCCTCCACGTGCCCTTCTCAAGTTTTATTCAAATTCACAACCTTGATTCGCAGCAGCATTGCCAGCTCTCTCCCAAGCAGCTGGAGTGTAAAGAAAGAAACAAAAAGTCACTCGGACCTGGCTTCAAGGATTTGCTCGGACCCTTGCCGGCTCTGGAACTTCAACGCCGGTGCCTGTCACCTTATCCAGAAAACCAAGTGGAAATCACCCACCTCTTCTGGCGGCTGTGAAGATTCAAAAAATCAACTCCCATGGAGGGACAGAGTCCAAAACCATCACTCCAACTGCAGTGTGTCTGGTAGAGTTTTCAAAAACCAGGAAGTAATATGCAAGAGTGGTACTTCTAGTCAGAGGAGAAAATGAGTTGGTATTTCACCCTAAAAGTCTCACACTCAGGGCCAACAATATTTTCTCCTTGGATCATCCTATCAGTGATCCAGCAAATTTCTTCTGAGTAACCTACTAGGAACTAATCAATGCACTCCAAGGAATCAATGTCGCTGTGGGGACACTCTGTGACTTTTCAGTCTGTCCTGCCTCCCCCCATTTAGGAACTGTCCCTCCTAACTCCTTGTGATTCAGGTGAAATGGTTAAGACACCTCCCTCAGCTGTCCTCACCACCAGGACAGGCACACGACCCGGACTGACCAGCCAGGTTCTTTTCTAGGAATTGATTTGGATCTTGACCTCTCTCTGCAACACTGAGCAAAGGTGCACTTCACCATCTCCCTCTTCCCCTTCTACAACTGGCAGACTTTCCGTTCTGCACTAACATCATCCCACACATAACCACTTTTTGTGGTCTTTTTCCAGCAGAAAAACTTGTCTGCCCTCACGAGCATCAACTTCTGGGAAACACCACCTACTGCCCTGAAACAGCATGAAACCTAAAGCAGCCAGTGGCTGGTTTGTAGGCAAGCCCAATGATGGAACGACAACTAAAATCACTCCTTTGGCAAAAAAAAAAAAGACTCAACAATCACAAAGGAAAAGACAGAGCTGGCTGATCTGTAAAAGCTCCCAAACAAGTCACCAGCCCTTACAAGAGCATGAAAAAAAAAGGAGGATTTTGACTATTTTCTCATCACTGTTTGCCAAGGGAGCCTGACTTTTCTGAGGAATAGAGATCACTGCATTTATTTTCCACATTTTTCATGGCCCAATTACCTTCTACATTACTAGGTCGTCTAAATAATCACAGTTACCTCCTATCTCCTCACTGATGCATGGTTTTTGGTCAGTTAAAACCCATAACGAAGCAAAGAAAGATCCCTGGTGTCAGATATGATGTAAACACCACCAGGATTTCATTCAAAGGATCTAAAAACAACCCATAGATTCAGATTTTCATTCAGGTTATATAGCTCCCAAAATGAATATGATGTGGGTATATTAGTGTTGTTTAATATAGAAAATGTTGATGTCATCACAGCCCACCAAAATTCAAGTGGTTCTACTAGAGAAAAGACTGTCACTGGCTTGGATGACATACTAGACTCTCCTGGAGGGAGGCAGCAAAAATATTGCATTCTCCTCTGCGTCCGAAAGACACTTGGCATTGTTGTGTAAAACAATCGAGAAATTAAGCAACAGGGCAAGGGCAAGGTAACAAGTCCAGAAGAGGCTACTTTCCACTTTGGGGACAGCAATAAGGGCTCTGGATCACTCATCGGGTCTTCCTCGAAGTGCACCCTTGGGATTTGTGTCCTTTCAGGTAATAAACATATGATCGAATCATTTAACAACTGTGGCATCCAATTTTCTCATCTGTTACATGAGCGGGTTGGATGGCAAGTATTTTATGTGGCATTTGGGGGTTTTGGTTTTTTTAGGTCCTTTCCTGATCTAAAAAGTCTACAGTTCAGCTCAGAGTACACAATTCCCACAGAGTTTCCAGGAAAACATTGGAGTAATTGGCCCCAGAGGAAATGATATTCGGCAACAAAGCCCTTCATTCTTGGACTAAAATGTTCCCTTGGCTTCCTATTGATAGAATACGATTGTCAATACCATGAGGGCTTAGGTTATAAACAGGGAAGTTTATCGGCATAGGTAAAACACTAGAATGAGACAGAAGGAAAGGATATATCTTGAGATCAAGACACTCGACAGATGAATTATTTGCCTGAGATACTTTAAGAGAGAGATGGGAAGACGATTCTGTAAATGAAAGGATACAAAGACATTTGAATTAACAAAAGAAAAGGAAAGACATTGAAACAGAAGGAATGGAAAATGTTTACTGAGATGATTTTCTCCAACCCTCATTCCCCAGAACAGGAGTCTGCCCTGTGAATGAGGAGCCGCTAACCAATCCGCCCTCTGCCCTCCAGGAATGTCTGAGACACCAACAGGACATGCTGCTGTGTCCAGACACGTTTTTTGAGCTTAGCTGTATTATTTGCCTTCACTTTGCACACACTGTACAGAGCCATGGCGAACTGTTTACCCAGGTTCTCCCACCTTCACCCCATCGCTCCAGCAGATCCCTTCCCTTGGAGAACTCTTCTTTTCATTGCTCCCAAGCCAACAACCAAGTTCAACAGCCAGCTTCTCCATGAAGCCAGCTGTGACCCACCCACAGTCCACTCCCTGCCTCACACACATCTGTGACGTGCTGAAGGAAACCTGCTCTTCTGGGGTTTCAGAAAGGAATAAAGAGACGTTAAATATTAGATATCAAGAGGTAGAGGGGGAAAGAGGGTTTCCTGAAGCCTCTTTAGACTTCCCAGACGGGGGTTTGGGGGGCCTAAGTCACTGTAGCTAAGTGTAAGTTCCGTGTATTAAGTGCATCCACGTTGTCATGCAGCTATCGCCAGCATCTGTCCCCACAATATAGCATCATTTTTGCTTACACTGGTTTGAATGGGATTTCTGTCACTGCATCTAATAAAATTCTGACTAATACATAAATATATAGTATGGATTGATAACTATAAAATATTCATAGAGGATACGAGGGCTGTTTTAAAAAGTGAATAAAGCATCATTTTCTGGCTCTGTGAAAGCAAACGGGATCCTGACTACGGTTCTTGAGAACAATCAGGGTCTGGGGAGACCAGAAGTTAATTAACCAAATGGATCATGTAGCGTAAAGCACTGAAAAAAGATTCTTTACTTTTATATCCGTAATAAGAGAAGACACTGAGACACAAAGGAAGCCCACCCCTCCTCCCCCAGGGGAAGACATTCTGCAGAAG